TGAGGATCATGGCCGTAGTGAAGGTGATGATGATAATGAAATTGAAAAGGATGCGTTGTTGGTTTATTAGTCTATCAGTGGCAGGTTATCCTATCTTTTACCAGTCTGGGATGGCACCAGTTTTAGAAGGAAGAAAATGATAATTGAAACTGAACAAAAAAATTATATTAACTACATCCACATAAATACAGTGTGGAGGTACAATTTGATACTATCATTGTATAGCTTGGATTGGATTTTCGGTAAGAGATGTAGGTCTACCAATTGATAAAGTGAACCCATAAAAGTCCCTGGAGACTTATTTCCAATGTGATCCTTCTGATGGTAATTGGCAGCGAAAAAGAGTGTACTGCATTCTTTAACCTGCACATGAACCATATTGCAGTGCGCTATTGAAATATGCATAAATTTCAGCCCTCTAACACAAGGAGAGCACCAGTTGAATTGAAATGGGAACCAAAGGTAATAATACTACTAATAAAACACATTTCTAAAGTGCTTCTTAAAGAACAAAAAAACTGGCTTGTTATCGGCGCTGGAAGGTGTTAGAAAGAAGTTGAGCTATTTGAAGAGGAAGGATTTACTGCAAGATTGGATTTGAATAAACTAAGGATCAGAGATGATATGTAATTGTGGGGGCAGAGAGTTCCATAGTTCAGTAGTAGAAAAGGAAAAAGAGCATTCACCAGTACAAATGTGCTTGACTTGTGGAGTAATAAGTTGGAGGGATTGGAAACGAACAGTAGATCTCCCCAGTTCAGCACACACACACACAGTGGCTACCACAATGTAGCCAACTGAGCCAAGCTACTTTCATCATGGATGATGAAATTGCAAAAACAAATATAGTACATTCTAATCATGCTTGTCTTTATTAACGGATGTAGATAAAGTAAATTATTCCCAAGTGTCTTTATGGTATAAATTGAAAAATGTCAACTTCTGTAATTAATGGTGTAGAGAGACAAATTAATCTTCATAATAAAAAAGGGTCATACTTAGGCCAATTTTAATGGTTCTTCGGATGAATATACATCCACGTGCCATTGTGGTGGGCTATACATTGGAGTGGTAATGACGACATAAACCCCATTCAAAATCGACCCCTTGTGTATGCATAATTTTATGTCACCAGCTATTGTTTAACTTTGTAATAATAAGTGATTAACTTGTTCGCTGGCAGTGACGAGTATACTCATTCCACTTGGTGTTGCTGAGGGCTTGTCGAAATCGGGGTAGCATTCTAGCATTTATTACTTATTTGTTATACATTGTAGAACCACAGACTCAATGGCTGGTAGTTTAGGGAAGATACACCTAGACGATAGTGTACAAATAACGTATGTATATTTGTGTCTACTGAGCTAAGAATTAATTATAAGGCCCCACCCACTCTTGACCGTCACCCTAGATACACTGTACACAATAAAGTAACACATGATCAGATATAGTGTGATTCGGTCGTGATTTATTACGGCAAAAGGCAAATGGACCGTTGCACACGATCGGTCCCTAAATTTAAAAATTCTTAAAAAGTGGCCAACAAGCCAAGCGGCAGGGTGCCGTAGCGCCCTAGTGTATTGGAGGAGGAAGGGGTTGCAGGCGGGAAAAAGAATTTCCAAGGAGTTATCGGTGCACAGAGCGAGGTAATTACAATCCGCAATGAGAAAAGGGGTCCGGTTATGATTCCACACGAGGAAATGCAATAGGTTGAGATTATTACGCCGACCGAGTGATACCAATTGGGGCGTACCTACGCCCCTTGACACGAAGGGGTTGTGTTATGTTGCCTGTAGTAAACTCAAGCGGCACGAGTGGGGGTGCCCTTTGAACATCTGCCCATGCAAATGGCGGAGATAACTCGCACTTGGCATAGTCAATAAAAAGTGCTGTCACAGTGCCACCCACGAGTTTACTCGTCCCCTAATATTTCCTCGTCAGTTTATTAGATACATCATTTTGATGATGACTAGATAAATATTCAAAAAAGTATGTGTAAACTTGTTTTGGCACACAGGGAGGAACCTTTAACAAAGATCTGGCAGTTAACGTGTTTATAAGAATATGAAGGTTTATTTAATATTCTAATGCACAAAACATCTTGAATTGTTGTTGTTTATTTCTTTAGACTGCAGGCACTTTCAGTACTTGAGTACTGTTTTTCGAAGTAGTACAGTTATATACAAACAAATCAGTTAGCAGTGTTACAAAGCATAGACAACCAAGTATACTGTAATAGTGTATTATTTAAAAGTTGTATAGCATAAACATTTTTTTCCAAAACATCAGTTCCTGACATATAGATGTCAGAACATCCTGTAAAATTATTAAATTATGTGATTTATGTTTTGTTGGTTTTATAAAGTAAGTTTATGTATTATTGGAAATCGAGATAGTTTATGTTTATTTTTCACCAATATCTCAACATTAATTTTGTTACAAATTAATTGAGTTAGTCAGCAAACCATGGGCATAATTTAAGCAACTCCCCACAGGCACATTATTATTCGTATAGTACTTAAGCACTCCGTTCACCTGCCGTCTGCGTACTCTTGTCACCCATTAGCTCCATTACTTGTTGTGTTTGTCTGATAGCATTTGCTTTAACCTTATCACTATCAAAAGCCCTCAAGGAATTCTAGGTGTTAGAATACCTGGTCTAATTTGTGATTATTAATGTTAATGTTATGATGGTACTTGTTTAGTATTACTTTTACATTAAACTTTGGCTCATATTTGTACATTGGCACATGTTATTGATCATAAATTTATTAATTAAATATAAGATCCCTGAAACTATATAAAAAAAAAACATGCTTGTTATATAATGGTCTTTTTTTTTTAGTATATTTAATTGTTTATGTTAGAATAATGTAAATTGTCAACATCATGCAATGCTGTATGGCTGTGAATTGATGTCAATAAAAATTAAAAAAAAATTTTTTTTTTAATAGGATTAACAACGTAGCTTGCCTTCTAGTCCCATGGTCCTAACTTTAGATTTTGTGATATTCCAAAAATAATGAAGTGTTTGTAAATATCAGATTACCCAATCGTTGAATCATACCCGGAATTGTGTTTAGGAAAATGCCAGTACGTAAAATTGACATAAATTGGGGGTAGGATTATACCCAAGTAATTATTTTTTCTATAGAGTACCACAGTCGTGTCTTCACGACGCCAGGTGGCGCTCTCTTTTGTCAACGGACGTTAGTTACTGTTCATTACGCTTGAATGACTTCATAGGCTTTCTGGAATAGGCATTTTAAAATCTAATATTTTAACATCAAAATGTACTAAAAACACAAAAGCTCGCATTATATTAGTTATCGAACACACATTTAATCACCAATTAAAATTTACCAAGAAAAAGTAAGATACATCTTAATAATTACATTAGAAATTGGGATCAATGGTTTGTCAGTGAAGAAAATGGCGTCCGGTTGAACGCTTTTTGCAACGATAGCAACAGAGTAGTATCATGTGGTATCGTGATGTAACACTGTTTTGTTTCTTAGATCAGCACAGAGAGTATATCATTATGGCTAATTTAATGGCACCATCATGCTCTTGAAAACACAATACAATAAAGACTATTAATTCTAGATTAGATGTAGGATGTTGGTATAGCAGTAATAAGCAACAATGATGATGCTGTAATGCATTATAATGGATTCATTAAAAAGACACATTGGGCATCGATGTACTCAGCTTTCCAAGTAATCCACCTCAAATATTGCATTAAATCGCCTCCTTGATTCACTCTGAAGCCCATCTACTAGGCTAGCAATTAACAAGACTCCTATATTGACATAAAGCTTCGTGTAATGACATTTACTACTGATGCACCATTATTTTTCTGGAAGGTAATAACACAGCTGATCAATAGTCAAATATTCGTTCAATTTATTCGTGAGAGATAAAATTGTAATAATAAGTGATTCCTAGGGTAATACTTGAAAAATTACCTTTTATTGGTACTGTAGATGCTTATTATTGAGCACGTCAGTTTGTAATAAAAAAAATATCCACATCAGATCATGGTTAATATATTGTTAAGCTAAGATGTTGAGCATAGAATAAGGAAGGAAGGGGATGTATTTTTTTTTAAGTGACTGGAAGAATAAAAAATTTTGGGCTGTGGGAGAACTAATACGTCAGTTGCTTAGTCTTACAATATATTTTATGTCAAATATGTGATTATAATGAAAAATACTAAATATCACCTGTACTGAATGTATCCTCTGTATATCTATGATTTCATTGACATGCATACAAGGAGTAAACTCTTTGACAAGATAAGTGATTAAACCTGTGATGATCACATCTGACAGGTGTAATTTAAGTATTGATTCCGTGAGTGCCTTCGTGTTGCCGAAAGTCATGCCAATTTTAGCCTTTTCTGATTGTTTATTTTCCTCTTTCAAATAACTTCATGAAATAGTTACAATCATAAAACATACGGTCTTCACTTGAGGTAAATGAAGATTTTTTTTTTTTAGATAGCATCTGATTTATGTATGAATTTTCACTTTTGGTCATGTTAATTAAATTGTGTGAACTTAGTATTCTTTTATCTATTATTATCTTGTGGTCTTCTAAAACAACTGCAATAATACAAATTTATTTAAAAAATTATAGTAATATTGTAATAATATATTATTGTAAAGTTTTAAGGGCAATGTTGGAAAATAGTGACACAAGGAGCGACGATTAACGTATATTAATGACATGCTGGTTTTTGCATTTCAGAGTATATTGACGTTGTATATAGATAGAGTATTGTTAATTTAGTAAATAATTCTGTTATTATTTCCATATCTTATCTGCATTTGTCAATTTATGAGCTTTTTATTCATTTTCATTTGTATTTTATTTTTTTCATTTTAGTATTTATATCATAAAAATATGATACGGTATATACTTTTTCAGAGTTCATAAATTAAAGTTAGTTAATAAAATCAAAAACCTGTAAATGTAGTACTATATCAATTTTTCAGATTTATGGAATTACTGATAAGCTCCAAGAGGAATGAAGTACGCTTTTTCTACACGCACCAAAATAAAATATATAGCGAAGAATTCGAGCAGGAGTTCCCAATTAACGAATGGCACAAGGTTGCACTTAGCGTCAGTGGATCACACATCACTCTCTATGTTGATTGTGAGAAGGTGGCTGAAAGACGCATTCTTGTTCCAGATACGGATATACGTAATGAAGACCTCAACATCTGGCTGGGTCAAAGGGGACCATCTAAGCTTCATTTTACTGTAAGTTGATACATTATTTGTACTTCGACAGATAATTAATGTTAATGGCCTCTTGTTTTGCTGTTATTTCAGAAAAAAAATATATAATATGAATTAATGCAGATTAAGATAATTTTATTGACTTAAACATACAATGCTGCCATATTATGTTGCTTTTTTTTGTAGCAAAATGACGTGAAACTATGGATGAATAAAGGAACAAATGAATGAAAAGAATGAATGAATAACAGAATGAATGAATGAATTAAAGAGAAATTATGAATAAACAGAATGAATGAATTTTATTAACCTGATGTTTTTTTCTTAAGATGAAGGTATTTATTTTGTAGACATAAGTAATTGCTTGAGACTCTCATCTTTGTTGTAGACATCAATTATCTGTGTTCTATTCAAATTGAACTCTCCTGTCTCCTGAGTTAAAAGTAAAATGATCTAGTATCATTAGTAGTAGTCTGATACTCATATTAACCCTAATCAATGGAACAAATGTCTATGGAAGACATCATTCCCTTGTTGAGTGTTTTATGATGTCCAGTGCTAGTGCCTAGCTTTCCTAAGGACGTGAATAAAATACATCGAGTGAGAATTGAACTCAATCGTAAGGGTGCAAACCATGTAAAATTGTAATTTCTTTCAATATTCTTTATTGTTTGTGTATTTCAGGGCATCGTACAGCAAATTAAAATTGTGGTTGCGAATCATGGATTCTTGCACCAGTGTCCAGAGCTCGATCGCAACTGTCCAACCTGCGGTGAATACCTGTCGATGGTTGGCATGGTAACAGACTTGGAAGAAGTCGTTCAAAAGCTACAGCATCAAGTAAGAGCCATTAAGACATTCTCATTGATTTTTCATTTCGATTCGCTCCAACAGTTACTGTGTTTGCCTACGTACTGTATCCAACTATGACCGTGGTTTCAATTCCCATGAGTTTTCGCCAATATTCAGACATATTTATTCTCTCATAATGTGATTGCACTAACAACACTATACATTGTTTCCATCTGTGATGTTTGTTTGCTTTAACGAAATAGTAAAAATTGTATTTAATAACATTTCAACTGCTCTTAGCAATATTATTTAAGTAAAGTAATGGTGAATTCAGTCTAGTAATATAATATTGCCTATCAATGAAAATCTTCCTTATCATAGACTAATAAGTGGTATAAAATTGTCCATACTTTAATGTTTTTAGAATTTCATTTAGGAAACAAGTCATTGTTCCTATTTAAAAATTGGGGGTTTTTCATTTAGTTAATCGATTTTCAGTTACTAAGTTAGTAATGATTAATTATTATGAAATTTATAAATATTACAATATCTATCAGTGCTTAGCTGGTAGATGGTCCTCATTAAATAGCTCTTAGAATAATTTTTCCAATGAATGGAATGGAAGTAAAAATCTGCCTATTTGAAAATGTTTGGCATTTGCTTTGGAGCGAGTTCTAATGTATCTCTTAAGCTTCTCTTTTCGTTTAATCACTTTAACACCCTCAAGAGGTTGAACCAGGCAAACATTTCAAAAACTGCAGTCAAGGTTTTAGGAGAAATTATAAGCAGAAATATAGGGAAAACACTGTAACATGGAATTTGATCGTGTTCATGTGTTGCAGCTTAACATAAGTAATTTCTGTTATTACAAGTTTGCTATAAATGCATTTTGTCTTCCATTACTGTCCTTTTTTTTTAGTGTTTAACAAGAAAAGTGATTGAAGATTATGCGTATTTCATCAAACTTAATTTTGAACCATGTAATTTTATGTTTTATAAATTTTATTTAAATATTTCTTATTTTTCTTTTAAGTTGAATGAGCATTCATTTTAAAATGTCAACTGCCATGATTTTGATATACGACATTCTTCTGAAAATAGCTCTTAAGTCTGGTTGTATATTCACCAAGAAATTTATTTGCGTTCCAGTTAAACGTAGCCGAGGGTCGATTGTCCGCCCTTGAGATGTGCGGCTGTGTACAAAGCTGTACAGTGAATGATGTGACGTATCAACATGGGAATACTTGGATAGATCGTTGCGATAATTGTACTTGCTCGGTGAGTTATACCTCCTTAACTAAGGTTTTTATTCAAAGCTGAAAAATATACTTTTATGAGCTAAAGGGGGAAAAACTAACATTTAATAATTGGATTTCTTTTTGTAAATTATTAGTAGACATAATTGAATCTTATATAAAAGCCAAGAAAATGTGTAATCTTATCTGGTTTTTTTCCTCTTTAAACGTATGATAATTTTGTTTGGACATATACTACATTAACTACATATCACTGTAACTGAGTGACAGTGATTTCTATGGTATGATAAATCTTATAATCTTAGTGTGTGTCATAAATTAATAGAAATAGTAAACTACTAGTGAAAAAATTAAATAAAAATGATTCAATGATACATAAAACGAACTAAAAGGCCTAAAATTCGATTATAGGATTTTCTCTTCTTTTAATACAACTTCTCGATGAATTTTAATGTTGTTTTATATTCTATTATGTTTTTAATTAATACTGTATCATTATAAATATCATGTTAATTATGTACATATTGTCAAAGATAATCAAACATAATATTGCTGTGTATTTCACATTAATGTTATATTAGGAGGGGAAAGTCTTCTGTGGCCCAATGTCTTGTCCGGAGCCTAAATGTAAGAATCCAGTCGTAGAAGATGGAGAATGTTGTCCAGTGTGTAAAGGTATGTAGAAATAATAACAATAACAAAATTACTCTACTAATACCTTGGTACTTCCTGGTATATTTTTTAATTGCCTTTTGGAATGTGAAAAACAAACCTGTTTTCCTGTTTTGATTTAAGTTTGTCTTTGTCTTTTTAAATACTAATTATTTCTTGTAAAATAAATTGGTTATTTTCATAAGTCAGATATTGCACTGTACACTGAATCAATTACTGTACCCTGTCATGTCTTTTTTAATGGACCGGACAATTCATCTTTAAAAAAGTCTACTTAGGATTACTAAGCAGGTTGAACCAATGACCTATTGGTTGAGTACCTTCCATTCTTATTCCAATCAAAACAACAATTCTTTGTTTCTTTATTGACAAGTGCTGTGTTTCAGTTGTGAGCTAGCCAATCAGAGAGAGTAATAAACGGAAAATTGATGCCTGAAATGTCTGTTTTGTATGCCAAGCCTGTGTGAAATTTTGTCATAATTGGGTGTGTTTTTATTAGATTGGGGTCATAACCATGCCAGTTACCGTGAGAAAAACATAAGAAGAACTATGAATTTGGTGATTGTGTTTTCTGACCATTTGAGGCAGAGCTCCTAAAATAACAATAAAAATGATAATAATATGAATAAGTAGAGTAAAGTCAATTGTATGACTGTAACATACCAAATTTGATTCTAGTTACTTTGCATACATATAAAAATAAATATGATGAACATTCAATTAAATTCATTTCAATATTTTGTATCCCTAAACACTGGGCTATAGACAGAAACAAAGGTAAGTGTTTTTGCACCTTCACAACATACCCACCTCTCAACATTTTACATTGGTGTCAGTAATTAGAATTTACTGACCTGAGACATTAATGAATTGACAATGCCCCAGTTCCATGCAGTAGTTCATATGGACTCACTGAATTACATTGACCTTGCATGACTTAAGTATTAATTAGTCTACGCAGATTGATCATCTGTTTACATTACCTTAGATCTTGCAATTGATCCACCTGTGTCCAGTAAAGGCGATTTCTGGTTTTTTCAACTGTAGCTAATTCTGTCTCTCCCTTTTACATGTATTATTTTTGCAGAAAATTATTATTAATATTTGTTTGTAGACAATTTGAATATCAATGTTTTTTTTGTTTTTTTTGTTTTTTTTTTCAGACCACTGTATATATGGCGAAAGCAAATATGATCACTTGGAAAGAATGGCTCGGAAGGGATCAAGATGTCTGGAAATGGAGTGTTTGGTAAAGTCCATGTTATTTTCAAAATATTTATTATGAAAATTATAGTATATGATAAATTAATAATAATTGTTATAGTAAATACCTGAACATCCCCCAACCTAAATCTACCACTGACATTAATTGCTTGCGGTACACCATGTGTATAGTTCTGAAAAGAACTGTTATTTTTGTTGAGAATGTCTCAATGTTTCGATTGAGTTGCTTCAATCATCAACAGGAGAATAATCTAGGTCAATGTATCAAATATTATTCTCCTGATGACAATTGAAGCGTTCCAATTGAAACGGTTCTTTTCAAAACTGTCTATGCAGTGTACTGCAAGCAATTAATATCAGTGGCAGATTTTGGGGGGGTGGGGAAGTCAGCATGCTGGAAAGTATAAAAAAGGGAAAAAAGAAAGAAAGAAAAGAAATTATTGATCTCCCAACACACCTCAGATGTTATTTCCGGGTATCTAGAAAAAAATAGCTTTAGGGTCGTGTTGTCTCTTATTGCCTGCCCCCCCCCCCCACCTTGTTGAATATCTCTGAATTGGCACATTGATTTTATTATTACCCTGCCATGCAAACCTTCAAACAATAATTGTTATGCACGAGAAGTCCTCACCAAAAGCATTTCTTTGGAATTTTCAGCAGAATGGTAGCATGAGCTGCTTATGCTTCTCGTTAGTGATTATGCTTCTCGTTAGTGATTATGCTTCTCATGTCAGGTACATCTTTGGTGAATTATTACAGGATAGTAGCATGGTAACTGCTGCAACCAAGAAACCATGTGCTCTGGCATCTTGGTAGTAGGTGATACCTCTCACATGTAAATGTTAAAAAGGTGCTTCTTTATATTTTTTGCAGGATGGTAGTATGAGTGTTGCTCAGACTAAGACAGCATGTCCGCAAGTATCATGTGAGCCAGAGGACTCTATCAGTAGACCATCAGACTGTTGTACATATTGCCAAGGTAAGTACCATTAATGACAGCAGTGGTAGGTGACGATGATGACGAAGATGATACATATTTTATTCTGATATATAACATTGGAATAAAAATTGTTGGCTCATCACAGGTGTCTTAATATGTCATGCATCATACTAACAGAGAAGCAAATAATTGATTCTTTATTCTGCTCCATACTATCTGCATCTTGTATGATAAGAAGGAGTAGGAAAATCATGATAATGATGATGGTATTGGTAATGGTAGGATATTTCTAGAGCATCTTCCACAATAAAATCATTTCAATGATAATGATAATGTTAATGATAATAAACTAGTATAATAGTATTATAATTTATTTAGTTTTTAGAAATATAGGAAATGTGATAATGTTGCTACTGAAATTGAAATAATATAACATCTATGCTACTCAAGTTTAAGCCATCAACCAGATTATGTTAATTCTGTAACTTATACAGAGCTCTTCTATTCCACTTAAGAAGTATACTTACTGTGCTTATTGTAAGCTCTCTTCTGATCCTGTTTGTGTGTTCAATCAGTGAGTTGTTAAACTGTATAAAAATCTGCTATCACTTATTATGTTTGTAAAATGTTATCTACAATGAGGATTACATTGAATAGTTTAAAGGAATTTATGAAAAATCATAATGATGGTGATAATGATAATTAAACATTTTTTATGATGTTAATTCAAATTGAAGTTAAATTTTAGTCATGACTTTTTCCAAATTGAAATTTGATACTAATATCAATAATAATAATAATAATAATAATAATAATAATAATAATAATAATAATAATAATAATCAAGAATGTTAATAATATCAAGAATGTTAATATTGATAATGAAAATTTTTATAACCAAATGGCAAAAATAAAATTGTTACCAAGCACAGTGACATTTCAAAACCAGGGTTGGATTGCCAGCTGGTATTATCTGTTAAATTACAATAATTAAAGTATGCTTATATAATATTAATAATGACAATTTGTCCATTGATATAATGCATTGTATAATTTTTGTTCTTTATCTTAATTGCCAGGCTAACAAATATATATTGTTTGTATACAGGTCATGATTACTGTGCAACAGCCAACTGCCCAAGTGACAAGGTTTGCCTCAACACAGATTTCGGTCATCAGTGCATCTGCCAAGATGGCTTTAAAGAGGAAAATGAAATGTGCATCGAGATAGATGAGTGTGAAAAGGCAGGAGGAGGAGACGGACATCACTGTAATGATGGTACCTCATGTGCCAACACTATTGGATCCTATGTGTGCCAGTGTTTAGCTGGGTACCAAAGGGAAGATGCCTATAGCTGCTCAGGTTAGCATTACTAATTTACATACAGGCATTACAATTGTAACTAGTACAGCTATTATTGTTTGAATCAAAATTAACTTCATAATTTTAGGTGTTATTGTTACTGGTAAGCTAATAAATACTAATGCTCCTCTAGTTCCTGTCTTCCATATGTGTAAATTGTATTATATAGAATTACAAATTCCTGAAATGTACAGTACCATAAATTTCATTAAGAATAAATATATTTGTTTTACAGAAATTAATGAGTGTGAGATTGACGGTACATGTGGCAGAAACAGCATCTGCAGCAACACAGTTGGCAGTTTCATGTGCGAGTGTGAGGATGGCTATGAGGGAGACGGTATCATCTGCTTACGTAAGTTATAGTTAATTATATCAAAGAATATAGATGACAATTTGATTGTCAGTAACCGTGTACTATGGATTTTGATGCAGCGGTTTTCACTGGTTTTTGAATTTGTGGTTAAGAGATTGTTTATTTATCAAACCATATTTAAAGAGGGTAACTCTTACAGCACAAAGCTGACTAGAAGACGCCCGCTGTGTACAGTACAGTATACAAATCAAGCCACAAGTTGACCATCCTCGGCTGGCCATGCTTAGATGCCCCAGCGTGCATTGTATGACAGGCTGTGAAGTGATCCACTTTATGTTTTAACCCTAGGTGCAAGCATTTCATGGCATATAATCAATAAAAAATAGTAGCCCTTACTGATATTATATTGAATTAATAAGTTATGTTGATACAGCAGCTTCTAAGTGTCTACGTCTGCATTGCTTTTTAGCCATATGTTCACCACCGTGTATGAATGGTGGAATGTGTAGTGCACCTGATACGTGCGTCTGTCCTGAAGGCTTTAAAGGTGATCAATGTGAGACAGGTAGGTGCTTTTTGTCATTCCATATCATCTTAGTATTCTCTCCCATAGAATTCATAATTGTATGTAGATGAAACAGCTGGAGTGAGATATAGGCAGATGATTATAAAGAAGGTTAAAAACCTGAAACCAAAATATATAACATATTTTTTCGAATAAACGCCCCGCTTTGAATAGACACCCCCTCAAATAAACTCTCCCTCTAGAGCCTCATTTGGGATAAACAACACACTCAAATAAATGCTCGCGCCCCCAAAATGAATGTAAACAAATCTAATGGAAGCAACATCATTCTCAAGACATGCTATTTAATGTTCTACTCCAGTAGCAGTACATTTTTTTGCTAATCTGGTTGGGATCAATAAGTCATTATGATCACATAATAAAACATTTTAATGGCAATTATGTGTTGTAATTCCACATTTACAGAGAAATTAAGGGGCCTTTATTTGAATATATAAATATCCATTTCACTCTCTAAAAAATAAATGCTTCCCTCAAAATCGCCTCCCTCGGATAAATGCCCCCTCAAAAACCCTTCTGAACAATAAATGCCCCGGGGCGTTTATTCTAATATATACGGCATATTTCAAATCTTTAATATAATATGATTAAATATAAAGACAAATACAGTGACAATAAGTTATAGTAAGAAATTTATTTTAAATGTAGATACAGTTTGCCCTCCAATAAGGGTTGTCTTGGAATTCAGTGTCCAAAAACAGGCTTTGTGTTAAAAGATTGAGATTGTTTTTTGGTCATTTGTAAAAGTGGTCTTGGGGTTAGAGGGGTCTTGAATTGGAGGATGCACTATAATTATAAACTGATAATATATACACATAAAATAATTACAATTATTTAAATAAATCTGCATTACATTGACTGTATCCTCCTAGATTATTAATAATCTACCACTAATTGATTTGATAGCCATATTTATCAATTTTCTAATAAAAGTTACTGTACATAAAATTAGTCATTTTTTTTTCTTGTTAGTGGTAATAATACAGTTTTTATCTAAAAAAACCCTATTAATATTATATACCCCATCATTATCATCAATAAAATTTTAGTATCATCTTTCTAGAAACGAAACTAGAAAATCGATCTGATTATTCACCAAAAAAAATATGCCATAAATTTAAAAGCTTTAGTGCATTTATATTAAATGTCCTCAGATCATTGTGCATTGCTGGAAGTTGAATACATGGCCTAGATTACCATCCAACTCTTCATATCAGATCCAAAATATCATGTTCACTCCATGCGTCTCCACTGCTTTTATCTGATCTTTTTTTTCACATCAATTTCTTAAGTTAAACTGTCAGAATTAATGTTCTACAACATCATGCAACAAAAAAACTCACATAATTTGAAGAGATACGAGTGTTGGAATCGTGACCTATTCAGATAACCAGAAAACTGGCAGCGTCAACTTTTCTGTCTGTAAAGAACTACATAGTAACTTTCCAATTGAAAATGAGGATAAGAAAAATATTCCTCACCAATTTAATGTATAGAGTATAGATATAGATGTTTTTTTTTAGAATTTGTAGTAAAAAATCTGTAAATGAATGAAAACTGAATTGTTTGATCTGTGACACATTGTGGTTAATTAACATAATAGAATAATATTTTGGATAACATTCTCCTTCCTGGGTATACAGATAAGCTATAGCTTAGGTAATAATGTACTGATAATGGAGTATTGAGAAAGATACCAAGTATGACTGTTGTATATTTTTCAGTACATGTGATTTGCTTTTATATTATTTTGTACAGAAAGACTTGATACATACAAATACAAATACATACCCTGACCTAAATAAATCATCTTAGCTCGCTTATTAACCTATTTTTTTTTTTTTTTTAGATGTAATTGTATGAAAATTCTATGGTAAACATACTGTAATATACAGTGTTAAGTGTAATGTTTTTGTTATATCTGTTTAGATATTGATGAATGTAAAGGTAATCATGGCTGCAGGAAAAGTAGATCTTTTTGTGTCAACTTACCTGGAAGCTACTACTGTCATTGCAAACAAGGCTATGCAAGTTCAACGCCTGATAACAACAAGGGGGCTGGATGTGTAGGTATGTTAGCCCAAGCATGTACTATCTATTTCGCAATGCACTTCCAAAATCAAGGATACTGATGATCCGATATAGCAGGTGGCACAAGTGGGGGTTGGGGATGTAAGGCTTGCAAATATCTCCCTGTCACATCAGCATTGATCTCCCTGTTGTCTGATGTCACTTGAAATCTAGACTAAAATAATGATTTGTCAGTAAAGTTAGGCTAGGCTTTTTTTTATACCTTGTTTTCACATACCTTATTTGTTAAAAAGATTGTCAGAAAGGGACATAGGGTTTGCTAAACAAGGTATTAAAACAGTCTCGCCTTAACTATGATTATACTGTAGTTCAATGTTTTAATCTAAAAGCACAAACTGATACCGCCAGACGAGATATATTTCCCCTTACTTTTACCAGAGTTTTTAACTTAGGCTCTAAGGGCCTTCTGATTTGAACTTGTTGGCAGATTTCTGGAACCATCACAGTTACTACTGTTCTGGAGATGATTGATTTTATTTTATTATTAATAACAATCATTATATGGCATTTACATAGTGTGTGATTTTCATTGAACATTCTGAAAGCATCCGGAGGAATTATTGTCCAGGTCATTAGATGATGTAAAATGAGTTCAACAAACACAAGTAATTTTCTGAAAATGTTTCCCTCAACAAATCCACCAGCATGCATTACAATTAATTTAAACAGTAGTGTATATTTATGTTAGGTACATTGGTATCTTGTAATTATACAAATCCATATTAAGATTCTAAGTGATTTTTTTTTAATTTTTGAGATAATCCTGTTATTGTTGAAGAAGTGATTTATTTATTTATATACTTTTCACTTTATTCTGCAGGGAACATCCTATGTAAGTAATGCAAATACTTTGTTATCGTTACTAAATCTCATCTTCTCTTCACATAGACGTTGATGAATGTGACACCAGCAATGGTATGCATTCCTGCCCGACTGGCACCACCTGTAAGAATGAACGAGGCAGCTACTCATGTCAGTGCAATGAGGATTCGTGCAGTCGCAACTGCATGTACGGAGGACAACAGTTCAAAGATCAAGCCAGCTGGCAGCTGGATGCTTGTCACTCCTGTATTTGTGATGTAAATAAGCACTAACATATTCTTATTTGCACCTTATAAATTAAAAAATTTTATTATTATTTCTTATTATTATTATTATTATTATTATTATTACTATTACTATTGTTATTATTCTTTTTAAATTTGTAAGAGAACTACTTTTTAATGGAATTGACCAATAGTTTGTTGGTTAAGGTGACTGCCTTCAAACGCCATGACACTGGGTTGAAATCTTGTGCAATTATAACATGTTTTTTCCTAAAAGCCATTTTTCTAAGCGTCAAGATGAGAGTTCATTGATAGAGCATTGCCTGGGTGTGTGCAAAAATATAATAGAATTGTGTTTGCTTATTTAACAAATTTGTTTGCCAAAAACATCCAGGAGGAGAAAATAAGAAATTAAATGTTGGTGAATGTAAACAGTGTAATGGGATGTTTAATTGCTTTAAATTTATATCATTAGGAAGAAATAAACCTTATTTCTGAGATTTCAAGGCAGCGGCAGGTGTAATAAAAATAAATATAAACTTTTAATATTTTTTTTTACAAAAATTTCCATTTTTTCGTGGCGGCAGGTGCGCTAATTGGTCAGAAATAAAATTTAATATTTATTCAAAATCATCATTATTTGCAGGCGTTGGGTTTTCTAAATAAGGTATAAAAAAGTCTCATTTTACTAGTAACCTATAATTAGCAAGTGATATGCTATATTTATGTGAAAGATTTTCTTTTAAAATGCTCAGAGGCAAAATTCATAGATATTGAAATGTAGATTTTGTTTAAAGGATGGTGAGATAACTGTCCAGGTGTGTTTTGTAGTATCACCTGAAGCATGGATTGTCATGCTCAGGGCTGGCAAAAGTTCATGACCGTCGGTTGGAGGCATCATCAATGTCCCGGAGTCATTTTGGGGAATAAATTTTTTTTTAATAAACTGTTGGGTTATATAGTGTACAGATAACATTTGGTGCTGGATGCATTTAATAAAAACAATTTTCATGGTCGGAGGCACAAACATTTTTTTTCCAGGCTTGGTCATGACAACTACAAATGTTAATTTGATGCCCAAAATTGTTTTAATGTAAATATTCTTGTTTAAAAAATTTAGAATGGTGTGACAACTTGTTCCAAGATCTTATGTGATTGTACTAGCAGCCCTGTTGATACTAACTGCTGTCCAGAGTGCGCCGACAAGGGCAAATGCCTACACCAGGAGCTTGGTATAATCTACGAGCATGATGATACTTGGCAGTATGCTTGCCAGAAATGCAAATGTCAGGTACGCCTCTTAGCCCTCTGTATTTTTTTTATAAGGATCCCTCTTATAAGAACCTTTTAGAAAACTTTTATTTTTATTATGCTGTCAAGTTAAAATATGTTTGATTGAGGGAGGCTTTTTCTTTTTTCTTGTATTGGATACATATATACTCAAATACCCCCCTCCCCCCATTAAATTCACTGTAAATGTGGAACTACAACACATAATTACAGTCAAAATGTGTTGCTGTGTGAACATTGTTGACCAAGTTAGAAAAAAATGTAATTCTAGAATGTTAATAGAATGTAACGTGTTTGGAATGATGTTGCTTCTATCAGTTTTGTTTAGACAGTTTTTTTTTGGGGGGGGGGGTTATTTGAGGAAAAATAAATATCCTAAGGCATTTATTCGAGGGAGAAGTTTATTCCAAATTAGGCCCTGAAGGCGGTGTTAAATGTCAAGGATTTTTATTTTTTGATTGACTTTAAACTTTAACTCTCCCATATGAAGTTACTTGTACTGCTTGTGTTTCACCTGTAATTGATAAATAATCTCTATTTTTTAATGTATTCAAATGCAGTTAAGCTGGAGAGTACTATAGAGTACTCCCCTAGGGAGCTGAGTATGTGTTTAAGTATTTGTTATTAATATTTTAATTATTATTTGAAATATTAATATACCTGATAATTTCAATGTTCTTTATTAAATTTATTCAAGCCAAATGTCTTAACAGTTGCTAGTTAAGGTAGATATTAAATAGTCATAATGGGTTACTTACACTTTACAGAATTATTTTCATTTATTTAAAACAATATGTATCTGCTTATCTAAAGACCGAGCATAGCTCTATTCCTCAGTTATATCCCCGCCCCCAAAATCATCCCAATTTTATAATAAAGGGTTATGTTCATACAATATTAACATGTTTTTTCTACCATTACAGAACAGCACAATAACTTGCGTTGCCAAACCCTGTCCTCGTCTCAGTTGCGAAAATACTTACACGCCATATGGTGATTGTTGCCCTCGATGTCAGGAACACCATGAATGTTCGACTTTGAGTAGCAAGACCACAGGCACGGCTAGCTGCCAACAAGGTGTGGCGACATTTGAGCACAAAGAACGCTGGTTTATGGATAACGATCGATGCTCTGAATGTACTTGTCTCGTAAGCAAACCAATTATTATTTTAACAGTTTTTTCCTGATATGTGTGACCCACTGCATGTACTTTTATTTAATGGATTTCTTCTATCTGTAGTCTGGTGGACTGTTCGATTACACCTGCATTCCTGTCCTTCAGGGCATATTTGAACTAATTGTATTATGGAGAAATAATCATTCTTCTTAATTTATATGGCAATTTTTTTCCAATTTAGAAATGATTTTCTGATTTCCTTCATCAACAGACTTGTTTTTCTTATTAAATACCTTCCTTTTCTTAGTTGAAAGATTAATTTAAACCAATGAAAATGACAGTTTAGGCTTTTTCTATTCATGTTGGTCAGTGATATTCAACAATTGTTTTATATCTTTTTTCCTTGTTTTTTAGGATGGCAATGTGTGTTGTATGTACAGCAGTGCGTGTACCCCATAAACAATCATGAAATTTACCGGGCTTATCCAAAAAGCTAAACAGACATGGACTCACTGTTTGCATCTGACAGTCAAGGGCTGGCTTACCAGGGCTAGCAATTCAGGAAGTTATTGTTTTGGGTCCACCCACATGGTTATTATTATTTATACATCACTGAGAATCATACATCTCAAACTATGGTGAAGAGAAAATAAATTTTCACTGATGAAATACATTACATGGTATTATAAAATTTCAGTATATTGAGTATTTCATCTGTCTACTTTTTGTAAATTAATCAGTTTTAGTACTGCGTATCTAAGGAAATGTTTGTTCTCCATTAAATATTTAAAATGTTGTAGTTTATAAAGATATGTGGAATTTCTGTGGTCTTTCCCTTTAGATTGCAAACACCTAAAGCAAAGTTGAGACTCAAGCCCAGCCAAACTACTGATAAGTCAAGCAAGGTTTCGATTTGTTAGGATGATGTAGCATTTAAGCATTCAAATTATTAATCCTTGTTTTTGTTAAATTAATATAAAGCTAATTATTGGTCTGTAAGATTCAATTTCTAGAATGTTTTGGGGTTTTCTTAATTTTTTTTCTAGATGACCAGGCCCAATTTCAACACAAGGTTGAAATTCTTCAGTGCACGGTATATACACTGCACTAAATTATTAACAATTTTCAATTTTAGTTATTAACTCCTTCATAATTTTTCTGTTTGGAGTAACTGAACACCATACTGTTTGGATCTGTATTTTGCTTAGATCCCGCCCTTGCATATGTACAGACAAATGTATATTGATAAAAGGAAACCAGTTAAAGAATTTTAGTCCTTATGTGTGTATAGATATGCAATGTTCATTTTGTAAGATGTTTGTGCCAAATATAAAGATATAATAATGTAGTTTTGATCATTCTCTGAAATTTTTTTGTGGAAATGTTTCTACAAAGTTTAGAACTCTAGGGAATATAATACTATAGTGTGTGTGTGTTAACAGAAGGGGTGGCAAGTTAGCGATTGCACTCTCTGATGTTTTTTTGCAACAATATCAATCACTTCATTTCTCTATCTTGGATCATAGATTCAGACACACAATACTAAATATAGCTCATTTGTATAAGTAATTAAAATATCAAATAAATATCTTGTGTGAAAAATTGCATTGTTTTATTACCTTATTTTTAAATGTGACGTTTGAATAAAAAATAACACTGATACATAAATGTTATTATTTAATCAATATTTACTTTTAAAAATCACATAATATTAACATCAAAATTGCACATTTTTTGTGGAGTAGAAAAATTACACACAGTATATGGGTCTTGCCATGCCAAAAACAGCATCAGCATCAGCAATCAAAATAAGAAAATTGAATTGGATTCATATTGTCCATTCCTTAAATTTTAAATTGATAGGTCATCTATTTGTTATAAGTAAAAATACGGCTTCTCTGTAATAAGCATTCTATACTCAAATGCTGGTTTTGCAATGGCAAGCCTCCTATTGGAAAGAACCAATCAGAATGATTTTATTTGGCAGTACGCCATGTTGTCCATTACAGTGCCAACCAACATTGCACCTTGGAAATATGCTGCCACAGACGATCCTTTTACCAAACTTCCATCGTCGCTTAGCACTTCACGGATTTGATATTTTTTGGTGTTTCCTCCACTAACAGCTTTAACATGTAGCACCTATGAAGAAATTATTCATTGATAGGTTTATTTAGTGTTAAAATAACCACAGTTCTAATATATTTACATATTAATTTAAAATTTCTCAACAAAAATATTTTTTATGTCATTTTCTAATGATAGTGGCCATTGCTTGCAGCTCTGCCATTTTTTTTTTTTTTTATATTTTAACAAATTAACCTATACCTATGTGTCCTGCAAATTAACTAACATTTGGTTTTTCATAAATGTCATTCTCTAAGCAAACCAGCATATCACACATTCCACACAGCTGGAACTCTTAAAGAAAATTTCTTTGAAAAGGACATCAAACTTTTTTCCATGCATCTAGACATACAATACTATATTTTAGCTGATCTCACCTGGGCTGGAGCAGGGTAGGTAAACTTCTTTGCATGGGAATGAAACTTGTGTCCTATAGGATGACACCCATGCCAAATATCCCCACCTTCATCCACAAATATATTATCACATCTGCTTTGAAGATTCATAGACTTAAAAAAGAAATATATAATATACTGTAATTTACTGGGTAAGTACCATGATGGCACTTGTACAATTCTTGGAGCCTTCGTTGCATAGGTTATTTGAAAATGCACTTAAATACTGTACAGTATTAAAAATTATTGGCTTGTTGCAGTGTTACTACTAAATTAGTTGATTATTATTGTCACACAGTTTGTATAGTATTATGTACTCTCAATTGAGCAAAATAGAATATAGTATTCAATTATGTACTAATGTCCACACTTCCAAAACCCACCTCCGAACTAACTGGTTTTTAGTACAGTATTTATGTACAGTATTTGTATAGAATGTATAGTATCAAATATATTTGTCAGAATTGATTCTTCATGGATGTGCCTCTTGGCAGATTATGAATTTAATTTTCTTCTCTCCTAATCTGATCACAAAGACAAAACTAGGCATAGGACAGTCTCATAGTCTTTTTGAAGCTCTGTTTACAGTGAAAAATCTTCCTCCTGCTTGTTTGCAACATACACATTCATGATTTATTAGTCGTTGGTCTCAATAATTCAAAAGTCCAGCTTACTGCAGACTAGTAATTATATACAATGATTGACTGATTGACTTTATTAGGAACTCGTACAATACAACAACACAATAAAGCTAATGCATGTCGAGTACCGCATACACAGAAACTTAATTGTATACAGTGCAAAAAATATCAGATTTTGACTGATCACAATAACAAAAACACCATGTATTTTGGGACAATAAGAGTTTCCAAATTTTTGATTTTTTTTTATAATCATAAACTTACTATACAGTATATTATAATTCTTTTGCTGTGCATATACTAATAATGAAAGCTTACCTGTATAAATGTCAAAGAGTTGCTTGCTTCTCTTTTGTAGATTGACATCGTATTTGAAGTAAGCTGATTTACATATACAAATCTACAAATCAAACAATAACTTATTTTGAGATATTTAAAAGCCACTAATTTTTTTATATTTTGTCCAAGTTTCCTAGCTCAACACAGTACTGTAATGCTTTAATGTAAAATAGTTTGTAAAAATATTATATTACAAAATTAAAACAATTTTTTTCAATGCAATTGCCACCTCCCTACCCCTACCCCACCACAAATCACCCCAAACACAAATTTAATTACAGCAATTACTGTATATTTTTCAACATTTTGGGAAACTGAATGCTAATATTCGATGTCTTTTATATTGTACTGTGCCTTTTGCTAATCAGCAAGAGGGCAGCATAACGCAAAAAAACTTTCTCTAGGTTTCGTCCTCACCAAATATAACCTTTGGATTTATTGTAGGTCCGATAAAAATATTTACCTATTCGTAAGTCTTACTTTTTATTTGGGGACATATTGATACCATTGTACATATGACCTTTATCTAGGACAACCTTTGCGTCTCTGCCATCGTAATAAACCACAGTGCTCCAGGCACAGAGTAGCAATGACTCCAACATCCTCCTCACTCCACCACGGTTCATAGCATCATTTGTGAAATAAAAGCTATTCCTGCCAGTAGCTAAGACGTCATTGACACTATAATGAATATATTAATACAATTTTATCTGTCATATTATACTGTATGTATTGCAATATTGTAAATATATAAATTTCTTTCACTATGACACTAGAAATATAATTATTAAACTTGCAATTTACTGTAATGCTTAAAGCACCACAACATTTAAAATACAGTAGTTTATTAGAAGGAGGTCAGATTAAAATATGCATAAGGAAGGTGTTGTGTGATAATAATAATAATAAATATATGACCATAAAAGCTATAGTTTATAAAAGATCCATGCTATCACACCATGCAGATTATTAATTATCCATAAATATGGTTAACCAAGTTAATTTTAAGTGTATCCTTGAAAACATACTGTACCATGGACGGACAAGGTTTGTTGTAAACTAAGGTGATATGCTGTGTATCTTACCACCTTTTATTTGATAACAATACACATTAATAACGGCCTGCAGGCAAGACAGTAGCAATGCCTTGAGAATTTTTTCGTTTTATCATCAATACAAAAATTTACAAATCCATAGTTCTTACGATATCATTAATTTATGCTTAAATGTTCTGCGATGTTTTAGTATGAGCTGGTCTTGGTCGAATTCAAAAGCTTCAATGGTATCCACCTTGCCATGATTGACAACAAACAACCTTACAAGTCCTGCAACAAAACAACTCTAGCAATTTCTCTGGGTGTTATAATACAAAAATTTACCTTGCCACATGCCTTCACATGTCAAGTGGTTTATAACCTTCACCATATATGGGAAAGGTCATGTATTTGAGTCTTGGGGAGGATGAAGTTTGTTTCTCTTTTTTTTTTCAGGTTCCTCTTTAGATTCAATTAATATTATTGCAATATTCCACGTAATGCTTCTGAGATTTTCCCATATGCTTTAAAATCAATAGCATACCTTGGTGGTGGTGGTGGACATGCACTGCCTGCCTAATTTAATGCCAATATTTAATTCTCTTTATTTTTAAGTATTTTTGTTATATATACCATTGTAAGAAATTACTGATTATTGCAATTCATAGACTTGATTTAAAGAATTGATATTAAAAATATGTTTTGAAAATTGAAAATCCTACCAGTTTCTTTATCTTCCCAAATATCTATACCATGAGGTCTAAAGTTGTTTTTATCAAAGTCACCCTTGAGGGGCACAACTTGGGCAGCCTTTTCTGGTTGGTTGAAATCAAATAAGTATATTCTTCCCTTGAACCCATGCATGCTTGGATCCGTATCTGGCATAATATGAAAATGATCCATTCCCTTGATAGAAGAAAAAAAAATACTGAAGAAGTCACATCATTTCTTACCAGTTTCTGTATCTTGCCAGATATCTAAGCCATGAGGTCTGAACCTATCTCTATCAAAATCACCTTTAAGAGGCACAATTTGGGCAGCCTTCTCCTTCTGATATGAGAAATATCTATCCCCTGGATGAAATAGAGAAGAGTCCTGAAGTTCAAGGGTGATGGCTTAACTTCTCCATATTTCAAGGGTTAAAAAATGTTTTAAAATTCTGCAACTTTTGTTGAATTGTACTGTAGATGGAGAATTACTATATAAATCTGTATGGCATGCAAAAGTCATGTTGATACTACTAGGAACAATCATTTAATTTTAAGTCTCAGCTCCACCTTGGTTTGCATTTATTAGTGGTCTGGTATTATATTCCATCTCAGTACATTTGTTATAAGAATATTAGAGGGCCCTAGTATCAGGGCCCTAGTATCAGCTCCCCAGTAATGGTGAGCTGAACAGGTCACCCTCATTAAATTTTTTCATGAAGGCACCATTTAAGTGTTTTGACAACCGGAAATGTAGCCCTACCTTTTGTGCTCACTCTTTTTAAAATCTGTATCCACTACTGGTGGGATTAAAACCATTTGTGTCTAATTAAAGCATACTGTAGTCCCCATTCACTCCCTTTTTTCAACAGGCAGTTGTCTGATATACTAAGTACCATAAAGATTCAGGCCCGTAGCCAAGGGGGTTTTTAGGGGTTCGGGTGAGCCCCCTTTTTCAGCGAACCTCCCTTTTGCTAGCGAACCCCCTTAGCTAAAAAAACTCACCCCCATTTTCCAAATAATGCAATTTATTACAAAATCGGAGCATTTTTTGCACTGTTTATTTGTTGCAATCGATAAAGTCTAATCGTAGAAATAAAAAAAAAAAAAGTTGCAGCCAGCTGAATGACGTAACCACTAAGACTTCATAATGAATATTAATGAGGGGTTTATTGCCTAGGTTATTTGACCAATAGCGTGCTCCGGAGATTTATTTTATTATTAGCATAATAATTATAGGCCTATGTCTATTTTTTTCTCAATATTTCTCACTTAACATCTTATTATTTTGGTAAAAAAGTAAAATGTAGGGTTGTCAGTTCCTATTGCTTCTTCATTTCTGCAATAAATAAGATATTATTTGCAATTATTACCCTTTAAAGCAAAGACCCTTTACATTAGTTAATTTTACATACCTCCATATTTTAATATTTAATGTTATTTAGCAATCTCATAAGGGGCAAGGTCTGTGTTTAGTACAGTCACCTAGTGGGTATTGCTACTTGCATCCAATATTTTTCTAGATAACATTTCATAGTAGCATTAAAGTGTTTTTAACATTGGTTTCGAACAAAAAAAAAAGTTTGTTTTACAATAAACATTTACGTTCTAAATCCTGTATTGGAAATATGTAGTCTTCTATTTTTTTAAATTGTGTAAGAAGTATTTAAATATACATGAACATACACTTAAATGACATGTACATGCTTTTAAAATCGTATAAATGCTCTGGCATTCGTCCCTTGACCCCACCGGGGCCCTTTGGCAAGCCCCTGGACCCCACGCCCAGAACCCCCCCTTGAAGTATCCTGGCTACGGGCCTGAGATTAACTACTTACTGAACTAATGAGAGCAATTCCATTTGGTAGAACAACAATATCTTCAGAACCATTTACTGCAAAAAAAAAAACAAGGGTTGAACACACTGTTGATAGGAATAATTGCTATTCTCATTGGTATTATTGTTATTGTTAGCAGATTATTTTGATTGACTTACCAATACCAGGAACCACCCTACAGGGACCTGGTCTGTGATTATAAATACTTTTATGATAGCCCATGATAAATCTGAAAGGATTCAGAACAATTATTAACATTTCAAAATACAATTTTTTTTTTAATTTAGCACCAAGGAATACAGATGAACAGTATTTATTTTTGCTAGCTCTACAGTATATTTACAGTCACTGGCATTTACAGTATAAAAAAATGTAGTTTAAAACCAAATTGAAGCAAGTAAATACATAATACAAAATAGTAAATAACATAAAAACAATAGCAATATTATATATAATACTTTTCCCCCGTAGTCTCGAGTTTCGTTCTATTTATATGACCACATTTCATCATTTGATGGCAACATCAGGCCTGTTTTCAGGTAGAAAAAAAACTCTTTGACATCTTTGTTGTGCAAATGGAATACCTGTACTGTAACCTGGGAACGAATGAATTTCTATAACAAATGATTTTTTATAACAAATTATTTCAATAATTCAATGTTGGCCTAGGTCATATACAAATGACCTATCTCATTTTTCTACATCCTAGTTAGGGTGCTTTGCAATCAAGTAAGAAATTTCCAGAATGTCCGAGTCAATTCTTAAATTTTGAAACAATTAAAGGCCAGTCTTATAATTTGAATCTGAATTTGTGGCATCTGAAAATGTGGCACCATTACCTGGTACCGTATTTTTGAATTTTCTTGTCGTAATCAAGGTTATGGTAATCAAACCAACGTTAAGCATTCGGGGGTTGCACCCAAGGGGGGGGCCCGGGGACTCCCCGTCGGGGATAAAAAACCACAATTCGTCGGGAGGAAAAAAATTATATGCTATTTTCTACATTAGTAGACACTAAAATCGATTAAATAAGCCTTTTTGAAACCCCCTTCCCCTGTCGGATACCTCCCCCTCCCCCGTCGGGGAGCTCCAACCCCCGTCGTGGGCCTATATATATATACACATATATATATATATATATATATACAGTATATATATGTGTGTATGTATATATATACATATATATATATATATACTCTACTTTTGTAATGTATAGTTAATTTTGAATACATCATACTTTTTATGTTGTGTGTGGAAAAACCAATAAAGCAAACAAACAAACAAACTGTGAGAAGAACACTGAAGTAAAAAAATTAAGAAATAAAAGTTAGGTGCGAAAGTTCATTAGCGCCTTTAAGGCTAGTCACTGGTGCATCTTAGACCATGGAGTCCGTGCTGAATAGGCCTAATTGAGTCTAGCCATGACGCAAGGCATGTCTACCGAATACCCAGCCAGCTAGGGACGGATGGGCCTCTAAATCTGAGGCCTAGATCTGGCAATAATAATCAGATGCTATCCTAGCCAATAATACTTACGCTAATGTAATCAAATGGTGAATGATTATACCTATACCACCAACAATCATAATTGTTTTAAACATGATTACTTTTTATAAACAAAACAATCAAGATTCGCTGCGATATCATAAACATAGCAGCATCAGCGCTGCCAGGTGACCTATGACCTTCATTTAATTCAACAAATATTCATGACGTCCCTGCACACTTCTGTCAAATCAACGTAGAGCTAGTTTCCCTATTTATTTTAGTTAATTTATTTTGTATATTTTTTATTTATATTGTTATTACCAAAAAATGGGTTGATAGGCTTTGTTTGATCTTACTTCTTATTTCATTATTACTGTACATGTAGGCCTATGTGTTTGGCTGGATAACGAAAAAAGAAAAATATACACATAGGCCCTATCTGGAATTGGTAAGGTGACAATCAATATTTGATGCAGAAATTTATACCGCATCAATTTTAAAAGATTAATAAAGGCGCAAAGTGAAGAATAATCCTGACTAAAAAGGATGTTTTGAGATTCTTTTTAAATAAAACTAAAACTTGCAGACTGTCTGACAGAAATGGTAACCGAGATTCATAAAATAGGGGCCTGAACAAGAAAAGAACGTTGACTAATTGAGTTTGAAGTTTAATTTTAAGCGCGCAAACGGGGTGAAGGAACGTACATAAGGCGACATAGGGCCTATTCATAAATACGATGGTTGCTTAAAAGAGTCAGTTTTTCCCGGTGTAACATGAATTCAAAGCAGAGGGTTTAATGTGATGACGGGTGGGGGTAAGAGTTCAAATGTACCCTCTCATGATTAGGGGTAGGCTGCGACATTTATGTCTATAGCATATAGGTCTACTGGCCGGTCAAACTCAATATTTGAACATAATTTTCTTTTTTCTCCCATTTATTTTAAATTTGTAAGTTTTAGGCCTACTCATTGTTGATATTCCACCAATAAAATTATAGATAGATAATGATTCGCTAAAAAAGTACAACATTAAAAGTGGCGAATCATAGAATTCGAAATAGAAACCACCGTACCTCAGCCCCACTATGTTGGAGCTGAGGTACGAAACGTTTAAGTCTAGGATCTAGGACCCTTTTATTAATTTTGTAATTTTTGAAAATGTATTCAATGGTAAAAGTAAAAGATAAAACATACAAACAAGATGTTCATTACTTGAGGATTGCCAAGTGGTTCTATTATGTTAAACACCATTCCATAAAGCATAAGATACAATTATAAAATTCTAACAGATCAACAATGAAGTAAAATTAAATATAAAAAAATTAAAATACAATACCAGTTAAAACAATTTTCAGTGAACGAATTATGCCTATGTCAAAAGTATTTAATTATTGTTGATAAAGCACCTATGTTAGCACCAGTTTCCCCCCACCACCACCATTTCCCCTCCCCCCACCGCCAGTCTTCCCCCATTTTAATTCTGCTAGATACGCCACTGCACATATGAAACCAATACCTCGTCCAGATTCGCCCCATTGACGATTCGGCCAAACTTCAATATGAATATTCATATAATTATCCAGGGGCGTGCAACGCTATGTATGCATTATGCAAGTTGTTTTGTCATGCGGTCACAGATCTGCAGAAGCCACAGTAAACAATGTTGAAGAAACTTTTTTTTGTAGGTCTTCTGGCCATTATTGTGCATCATATTGTAACATTAACGTAAGTTTATTGTTTATTATTAAAACACCAATATTAATATTATTAATTGCAGAAAGTATTAAAGCATTATTAAACTGAATTATATCAGCATAGGCTAGGACCAGGCCTAGGCCCTAGATAGAGGGCTGGAGGATAGGTTTCACCCTACCTACTTCAGCTAGCATACTGTACATGACCTTGCATTGGCCCTTGGCTTGCTTGTACGCTTGTTGTACGTATGTGCTGTTGTTGATCCGTAGGCACGTGAGAAGGGGGAGATTTAGAGAGGGATAAATAGACTACACCCGAACCCACCTTAAAAGTTTATCAACATGCATGTGAAAGACTCTCTCGTAAGTTGGCCAAAATTGAAACTTTTTTTTAAGTTAATATTATTAGTTTATCAACCACACCCATTCCATATTTAAAGCCGAAAGGGGTTGATCCCACTATCAAACATATTAAATTTATAAAATCAAGACTTCAGCAATGAAGCTAATGTCTGCCCCCACCTGTCAACATGAAGCTGCATTCTAAGGCTGTCATATCATTCCCTCAATTTTGCAAGAAATGTGGTTTTTACTAGGTTCACTTTATATCTGGTTACTGATGTGATATAAAACTTAAGCAAAATAATGCAAGGCATGTTAATAGGATGTTTATAGCCTTAAGAGAAAGATTTCCACAACAATTTTTTGCTAATTAATTTGTTAGTTTATTATACATTCTTGGGAGAGATAGGCCGGAGGCAATGGGTCTACCATACTGTGGAAAAGATCCATCACTATGAATCCACCCACACCACAGTATTCAAAAGAGCAAGAATATAGCTCCTGCGTTAACAACCCTCGTAAGATATGCTTTTGAATAATGTTTAAAAAAGTCCTCCTGAATTGAAAGTGTTTTTACTGGTTTTAATAGGTTTATAAGCTCAATAGGCGTAACAAATATATTTGTTTTTTAGACTTATTTTGGGAGCTTTCAAAACTGTCTACAATCATAAACCAGGCCCATGCAAAGTAGTCCCAGGCATTGGTAAGTAGCAGCAATGTAGGCAACGCTTATTTTCATACTTCTGACTTTTATGATCTAAATTTTAAAAAATCCTTGTCTGGTGTTTTGGAAAATGAGAATAATGTATCCTCCCCTCTTTTTGCTTTTAAAAATAAAGATTGATGGCTGCACCTATCATTACAATCCCACACACACACACACCTGCCCCACCCAACACAGCCACTCCCATTCAGCATACCCAACCCAATACACGCTCACACACACACACACACATTCTTATATCAAAGTATAACCAAGAGAGAACGAGATACATGTGCAACCTTTTACCTCAATTTCAATTTCTTATTTCTGTTTCTCAATGATAAATTATCTTAAAATTTCAGTTAATGGCTCAGAAGATATTGCTGTCCTTCCAAATGGATTAGCTTTCATCAGTTCAGTAAGAGACATTTCTTAAATATAATTCTTTTTCAAAGTACTCATAAGTTATCTAATTTAATACTTTACAGTATTTAATTCACATCTCAGTCAATACATGGTTTAATGTGCAATGGAATGAAAAAAAAAATCTTGTGAAATACAACTATTTTGAGAATCAGTTATAACTCCTTTAGTTTTATTCTCATGGGACATGCATACCATACATACTTGAGAATGTGTTAATTTAGTCTTTTTTTTAACCAATAATGTGTTTATGCCTAAAAAGTAGAAAATGCACAAAAATACAAGAAAAACCATTTTCAAATCTATATCGAAGAGCAAAATGATCGCATAACACTGTTGCATTGCCTACCTTTGCAAGATAGGCCCATTCTAGCATTTTTAGCTCATTAAAAAAATAGTTCTCAAAGAAATAAAATGCCGACCCTCAATTTCGAACATTTTCGGTTGGTCGGGTGACCAATTATTTTTTTTAATTGGCCTAACCGTAGCTCCAAACACATAATTATTAGTTTCTTGTTACAGTTGTATGATAAAATGGATTAACCTCTAATTTATTATTACTCACCTTGTTTAACATCTAGGGTATAGATATTTTTAAACTCTCTCCTGATGCTGATCCAAGAATTCAATATTTTCAAGGAAGAATATTCCAGTTTGATTTCAACAAACCAGAAGAAGCTGCCAAAGTTCTACCGATAGAGGGCGACTTTGATGGCAAAACATTAAGACCGCATGGTATTGATATCTGGCAAGATAAACAAACAGGTATGTTAACACATTTGTTGCCAGGGATGCGACTCTCGGCGCCATTATGTGAGTTCACGCTCACACTCGTCTAAACATACCACTATTTTATTGCACGTAAACATACTGGCAAGTGGTTGCCAGAACGTGCCCTGGGGGCTTAGGGAAGAACCTGGAAGTAATGATCTAAAAATAAATACCGTATGTTTGTTCATGTTTCATTACAGTTGAAAGGAATGATTTTCTTTATGCCTATATAGCGTATAGGATGAAAATAGGAAAAGGGGCTTGGCAGTCAAGCAAGATAAATATGTTTTAATTTTGACATATAGTATCAGTTGGCTCTGTATTTATTTCATCAATAACAATGGAAAGAAAAACGTTTTTAAATCATATTTTTTGTATTGTCTCAGGGAAAGTTAGATTGTTTGCTGTTAATCATTACTCAACTGAAGACACAATTGAAGTTTTTGATTTTGACCAAGAGAGGGCAGCATTGGTACATCACAGAACCATACAACACAAGTTTATAATCAGGTATGCATCACTATAACTCGTAAACAGAAATTCGAAGAAGGTATAATTGGAAGAATATTCTTGAATTAGTTTATATTTTGAGGAAGCACGAAAAGCCTTCGGGCAGTGAGTTCTGTAAAATAACTATAGTTCTACAAAAATGCCATAAAATGATGACATCCTGGTTTGCATCCAGGGTATCTTAAAAATAAAACATAATTGATGGTCACCAGTTAAGTGAGCTTTTCACAAAAGTTTTCATATTGGTGATAAAGGTCATGTTTAAATATTCTGTTTGCAGTGTAAATGACCTTGTGGCTACTGGGCCTGATAGCTTTTACTACACTAACGATGGATATTACCGCGGAGTTAAGCGTACACTTGAAGGACTGCTCCTCATGAAATGGGCCAGCATTGGTTACTATGACGGCAAGGAAGCCAAGATCATCAGAGAGAATGGTCACTTATTCAATGGAATCAACATGTCACCTGATGGAAAGTAAGCTTACAATTTAATACTGAGAATTTTAAATACTTTTTAAATAAATAGAATATTTTTGAAGGGTATTTACACATTTTTTGTTTTGTCTCATTTCTTCTAGGATAGTGTATGTCAATGAGGTTTTTGCAGGAACGATGGATATACTGAAAAGAGAATCAGATAATTCACTCTCTCTGTTAGAGGTAAGTACAGATGGATCAATGAACTGAGAACTGTACTTTGGGGGATTTTAGGAGGAAGGCAAGAATGTACTGATGTGTGTTGCACGAAGAAAAGTTAACTTGCATTAAAATGTACACTTGCAATTTTTGATGAGTTTTACTAAAACATTTTCTAAAGTTTGATTTGGTTGGGTACCCATTAGCTTTGGTGAATAATGTGGTGTATTGAAAAGTGTAATGAACATGGAACCAGTTGACTTTGCATGGGGTAGAAGTGGTGAAATGCTACCTTTCACTGGGCTCAATTCTCCATGCAGTACAGGTAGTTGGTAACCATAACAGCATTGACAGTCCTTATAACTTGTAATATGATTGGATTAAATTGTATTGTTCGGCCAAATGATACCAATGCCAGTATTTTCTCTTTTTTTAGACTGTGACTTTCAACAGCTTGTGCGATAATATTTTTGTGGATGAAGTTGGAGATATTTGGCAAGGCTGCCACCCGATTGGCTACAAGTTCTCTTTACATTCTCAAAACTTGTCTGTACCTGCTCCATCCCAGGTAATGAAAACTCATTATTATCATTGTTATTATTTCCATTATGTTTACTAGGAATGGTGTTTTGCTCTACCTGACGTATTATCTTACTGAATGCTCAGTACTTTCCCAAGTACCAGCGAAAACCAATCTCAAAAGTAATACGGGTCAGAATCGAACCCACAACCTCCAGATCCCCTGAACACCATCGGAAGATATGATTGCTATTATTATATGTAATAATGTAATTATTGTTATGTAGTCTGGTTTAGTAATAAATATAATGTACTTGGATAAATATGTATGTGCTAAAGCAAATTTTATAAATTAACAATTACTTGTATTCAGTTGTTTTGTTGTGATTCTTCCATTATTCATTGATATTTTAATTTGAGTTTGATTGGCTTAGCTTCAGCATTAAGTCTTTTTAATTAAGTATGTCTATGAAGATTCACCTGTCCAGGGAGTTAATTATATAAAATTCTTAAACTTTAAAGCCCCATTCCCTGCAAAATTTCACTAAAAAAAAGAATTTTTTTAGAAAAAATGCATATGCATTACTCTAATTATTTTAAACCATAGAAAATATTGGCATAAATTTTAGTTTTACTCAAAAGAATAAAAAAAATGAGAAATACAGACTCTTTCTCATAGGAGATTACCATTTTCTTGACAAATTCTTCATTACTAGGCAAATTCAGAGGTTGTAGATTGCATCCACTGGAATGCTCTCGTTTTTATGTATACTTTATACAGTCAATAGTTCGCCCTCTCTAATGAGATTTGTACTTCGCATCTCGCACACTGTGGTCGATCGAGTAAGCCTGAGATATGTTTAATTGTCAAAATCTCTGTCAGAATCATTTTTTAACAAATAAATAATAGGAAATAATTCCTATGAAATATTATATTTCACAAGTGTCAATACTAGGAACATAAAATATCATGTCGATCGTTTTTATGTGTGATAACAGAACTTAAATCGAGATAAGGCTAGGCCTAGCCGAGCAGTGTTGGATAGGCTAATATTTCCACGTAAAATTCATCCGCATTTATTTTTTGTTTAAAAAAAAAATCAAATTTCAGTCTTATTTTACATTTTTTTCATGTTTAGGAATCTCTAAATTCAGTTAAACTAGCAATTTTGCATTATATTTTTTAATCTTTATAACATATGTAAAAATCAGATTTTTCTTAACTGAAATTTTGCTGGAAATGGGGCTTTAAACAGTGGATACATACCAAGCAAACTTTCAACCACTTCTGTGCTCTTGTTCATGCTGACCCATCAGTTTGGTATTATTGATATTAATTGAGTCTATTAAAAAAGTCAAAGATATTTTCTGTTAATTTCAGGTGCTGCATGTCAAATTTGCTGATGAGAGTAGAAGACAGTACGAGATAAGTGAAGTACTCAGCAACGATGGAAGTCTGATCTCAGGATCGTCGGTAGCAGCATATTACAAAGGTTCTATGCTGGTGGGAACAGTCGTAGATAAAATGGCATACTGCCAAATTATAGCATATTAGTATTTTATTACATAGTTTAATCAAACCTGTGTCTTTGCTGTGTGTGATTGTTTGCTTCGTCATTTGTTATTTTTCTTTCATGTTTGATGTTTGAGGCTGTCAAATATTGTATAGGAACCTTGTTCCTCCTTGGTTTTGCCCTACTGTTTTTGAGGAAATAAATATATTATTATTATTATTATTATTATTATTATTATCATCATTATTATTATTTATAGGTGTAATTTTGCCCTACCTGACGTGGAAATGTACCGAATACTCAGTACAGTTGAAAACAACTGCGAAAAAAATCGCAAGTTGTTCTCGGGTGGGACTCGAACCCACGATCTCCAGATCACTANAGCCTGGCATCATACCTCTAGACCACCGAGCTTGCGTCTGATGGCCAGGGTTGAATTCGAGTCCAAGTAAGCAGCGGGTACTGCAGTGTTGATAGTAATTGTTATTGTCGTGATGGAATAATAATAATAACGTCAGGTAGGGCAAATTTATACCTATACATGTTTCTCCTGACGCAAATCCAGTTATTGTCTATTATTCCATCACGACAATAACAATTACTATTATTATTATTGTTATTATCATCATTATTATTGTTATTATTGATAATAACCTGTGTTTGAGGAAATAAATATATTATTATTATTACATCATTATTATTATCATTATTATTGTTATTGTTATTATTATTGATAATAACCTGTGTTTGAGGAAATAAATATATTATTACTATTACATTATTATTATTATTGCTATATATTGTTGTTATTATTGATAATTTGAATATTACATTTAGTAATTCACTTTAAAATTTGTTCTATTGTTGTACTTTCAGTTAAAGATTACTATTTCTCATTCTATTATAAAATGTTTGGGATTGCTTTTACAGCTATACCTTTGAAGAATATACTTTACCGTTCATATTTTTGCTGAATTCGTTTTTTACTAAGATGGAATGATATTGACCACATAAATATCTTTGTCCACACTCTTTTTGTTTATATATAGGTATAATGACATAATTATCACACTAGTGCATCTATTGACAGTAAGGACGACAGAGCTTTAGAATTTGATTGTGCTCACATTTTGGTTTATATATTTTGCCAGTAGCTTTGTTAATCTAATATTGTTTCAAAAGCAGTACTTAATTATACCTTGATAAAGTATTATATCCATACCAAATTTAGTTAAGGAATTTATAACCTTCATAAATAACTTGTATTCAAAATTATGGAGATGTTCTTTTTGTATCAGATAGCTTAGAACCAAGTTACAATTTGGCAGTACATCTGTATTTTCAAGGGAAGAGGATCTAAATAATTAGTATTCCATTTCTTTCCTAGACTCTGCATGTCTTTCTAAAATCTTGGATGTTCCCTATATGTATATTAGACTTTTATTTGTCATTTATTATTTCATAATATGATGAAAAGTACTCTAATGCTTTATTTGTATTTGCATTGTAAAATTATGTCAGAATATTAAATATGTTTCTTTCAAATTGTAGTATTGGGTATTAATTATTTTTACAAAAATCACTTCAAACTTCCAGATTGACAAGGCAAACTGGATAAAAGTCTATTTATATTGTTCTTGCAGGAATATAATGTGAATAAGTACTAATGATTTGAATGTGAAAAATACTGCATATTTTATTGTTTTTTTTTTACTGTAAGTGCCAATTATGGGAATTTTATCAAAATAAATTTTGTTTTGGATAAATGATACTGACGTTGTAATTTGCCTTATATATTTCTATGGAGTGTTAATGCTACAAGCAGATTTGTATATTAGGTCTAGACGCTTTATTGTCCAGATGTGTATCCACAACAAACAAAGATACGAGCTTCATTCTCCAAAATGATTAATTTTGTTATATATTTTCCATGGAGTGTTAATGCTACTAGCAGATTTGTATATTAGGTCTAGACACCTTATTGTCCAGATGTGTATCCACAACAAACGAAGATACGAGCTTCGTTTTTCAAAATGATTATTTAGTACTTTTCCAAATGGTACCTAAGGATTTAAAAAAATACTGATTATGTTTGAATTATCCAGGCTTGCATTTGCAAACATGGATAATATTTTTGTGAATGGAGGATGGTTTATACACTAGTGTGTGTGTCTTGTAAGATATTATTTATGATATCTGACATTGAATAACCATAAAAGTATTCAATTGAAAGACAATTACCACTGCCTTAAGGAAAGGATACGCAAAACCAAAGGCTAAGTGTCCAACCCCTGACATAAAAGATGATGGAGTATGAGCAACGTGTGTGAAAATATGGTGAATAAATGGCCATCATGTTGTCAGGTAGATGTAAACAAAAATTTACATCACCCTTGATCGATACAGTATTCTAGTATAAACGGTGAGGAAGACATACAAGAAACCACCTCACTTTAAATTTACTTCCCATGAATTATGGCAGTGAATAGAAGTGAAATAGAAATCAATGACGTAAATGGAATCCAGGAAAATCATAAAGTACTGTAAGTCGCGTCATCTGGCAGGGTCAAAAGTTGGGATAACCAGGTCATTCAGCGAAAACCCCATGTAAAGATTGGTAAAGATGGAAATGAAATAATAAATTAATTTAAACATAATGGGTCTTTGCAAAAAAAAATTAACTGAACGGAGAGATACTTATTACTATGGTGACGATAAACAATAAAAAACATGGTGTTGGTATCTTGCTGGATAAAGAGCATGCAAAGAGGTTATACAAATAAAATGTAAGCCTATGGATATGAAAGGACGATGATGGTCAGATTAAATCACTTACTCTCATACAGTGGGTATACATGTTTATATGCCTATCAGTAGTGAAGAATAGTGAAGAAATGGAAGCTAATGTATAAATTAATTAATTGTCTATGAAGAGATTGAAAAATTGTTGGATAAACAGATTCAAATACCGTCAGATACACTCTATACAATATACACTCTATACACAATAGGTACAGCTAGAAACTAATAATTGCATATAATATAAGTCAATATAGCAGTTAACACTGTTAAATTATATAATGCATGTGACGGTCATGACGCTCGCCTTAACAGTGAGAGGTCGTAGGTTCGAGTCCCATCAGATGCATTCTATTCACAATTTCTTTATTCATTTATTTATAGGAACATATTCGTTGAGAGCTATGCTCTCTTGCTTTCTGTATGTGCTGTATTTACCTTTCTTTGATGATTTATATATAATTTAACAGTGTTAACGACTATCTTGATTTATATTATATGCAATTATTTGTATCTAGCCGTACCTATTGTGTAATAGAGTGTATCTGGTGGTATTTCAATCTGTTCAACTATGAAGCCTCTGTGGTTTACTGGTTATAATGCTCGCCTTGACAGTGAGAGGTCGCAGGTTCAAATGCCGTTAGAGGCATTTTATTACACAACTTCTTTATTCATTTATTTATAGGACTAAATTCGTTGAGAGCTATGCAACAAGATGTATTATTATGTCTTTTATTCGAACACTGTATTTACCTTTCTTTGATGATTTATATATGTTAACGGCTATCTTGATTTATATTACATGCAATTATTTGTTTCTAGCCGTACCTATTGTGTAATAAAATGTATTTGTCGGTATTTGAATCTGTTCATTCATGAAGCCTCTGTGGTCTAATGGTTATGACACTCGCCTTGACAGCGAGAGGTCGCAGGTTCGAGCCCGTCGGAGGAATTTTATTACACAATTTCTTTATTCTTTTAATCATAGGACTACATTTTGTTGAGAGCTATGCTACACGTATTATTATGTCATTTATTCGAACACTATTTAACTTTCTTTGATGATTTATGAGAGACAGTGCTCGAATAGAAACATAATTGAAATATATATAAGCATATATTTATAAATATTCACTCACCACTGAGGAAAAACTTGTCCGAAAGTTCTTTGGTTCTATTTCTGGCTGTTTACGTATGCTTACATTTTAGCTGTTAGCAGATTTGTATTAATACAGGTGTCTAAACAAATTTGTCTTTAATGAATATTTTATGTCTCCCATTTCCAGGTGTATTGTGTTCTGTGGCAACTACAGATCATACAAATACTGAGTCCATGTTTGCAAATGCCATATAAAAGTTACTTTTATGTGGCATACAAATGTATTCATTATAGACTTGATTCTGGTATAATTCACAACATTCAATGCTATATAATGGTGTTCAACAAGGTTAACATAATCGGTATTTTCATGATCATTGGCTACGAAACTGTAAGAATCAACAGAAAAAATGACTGGATGAAATGTAGCCAAATTTTAGCAAAAACACAAAGCTCACCATGGTTTTTTTTAAATTGGACGATTTTTTTTATCTTGCCATTTTCCGGTTGTAATAATACGACTTGACCTATTCAAATCTGTAGGTAGAATTAACACACCACAGAAACATACAATGCAAATTGCAACTTCAGTATCATTTATTCAAAACAAGATATATTTCAGTCCATTCCCAAAATTGGCACTTACAGTAAAAAAACTATATTATAGTATGCAGAATTTTAAAAATTCAAATCACTAGTACCTGTACTTGTATAACCTGTTCTATTCACATTATATTATGAAGCAACAATATAAATAGGATTTTATCCAGCTGGCCTAGTAAAACTGAAACTATGAGTTACAGTAGTTTTTTAGGTACTTCCTTTTTAGGTAATTAATATCATTTGAGAACAAAAATGATTACAAGTATTTATTACTATTTATTTATTATGCTAACATATAATTTTAAAATGCAAATACAAATTTAAAAATAGAGTACTGTACATCATACTAAAACATTACTTAATGTCATACACAAGACAAACAAAAATCTAATATTTGTAGAGAACATCCAGGATTTTAGGATTATTATTTAGATCCTCTTCCCTTGAATAGACAGATGTACTGCCAAAATGTAATTTTGCTCTTATCTATCTGATACAACAAAAAAAATCTCCATAACTTTAGTACAAATATTACTTTTTTTGAAGTTATTAAGGTATATAAATTACTTAACTAATTTTGGTATGGAAATAATACTTTTTTATATTATAAATAAGCACTGCTAGTGAAGAATTAGAATAACAAAGCTACTGGCAAAATAATATAAACCAAAATGTGAATGCAATTGCAATCAAATGCTATAGCTCTGTGCTCACTGCCAATACATGTGATAATGATGTCATCATATATATGAGCAAAATTAAGAGTGTGGAAAAAAGATATATGTGGTCAAAATACATTCAATTTCACTAGAAAAAAGGAATTCAACTAAAAAGGCAAAGTATATTATTCAAAGTTATAGCTGTAAAAGTAATCACAAATGTTTTATATTAGATAATCTTCAACTTAATATGCTATAATTTGGCAATATGCCATTTTGTCCATGACGGTTCCCACCAGCATAGAACCGTTATAATATGCTGCCACCGATGATCCCGAAACAAGACTTCCATCGTTGCTGAATACTTCACTTATCTCGTACTGTCTTCTACTCTCATCAGCAAATTTGACATGCAGCACCTGAAATTAAATAGAAAATATCTTGATGATAATGAAATTGGTCATAAATACAGTACAAACATTTACATATTTATCCAAATACATTGTATTTGTTAATAGTAAACCATCGTCTAACATCTAAAAATAACAATAATTGCATTACATATAAAAATAGCAATCATATATTCCAAAGGTGTTTGCGTCAAGAGATCTGGAGGTCGTCAGTTAGATTCTGACCCGAATTACTTGCAAAATTGGTATTATTTTGGAACGTACAGAGCATTCAGCACGATAACATGTCAGGTAGGGCAAAACACCATTCTTGGCAATTACATAAAGAAAATAATGAAAATGATAATAATGAGTTTGATTACCTGAGATGGGGCAGGTAGTGACAGGTTTTGAGAATGTAAAGAGAACTTGTAGCCAATCGGGTGGCAGCCTTGCCAAATATCTCCAACCTCATCCACAAAAATATTATCGCACATACTGTTGAAAGTCACAGTCTAAAAGAGAAAATACTGGCATTAATGTAAGTAATAATAATAATATATTTATTTCCTCAAATACAGGAGGGTGAAGCCAAGGAGGACCAATTATAGGTTCCTATACAAACAACAAATGGAAGAAAAATAACTAATAACAATAGCATACAATTACATACAGCATAGACACCCTACTATATTAAAATTGTTGTACATGAGTCGATTGAACTATACTTATTAAATATTTAAATCATCTATTTATTATGTTTTATTTATTTATTTATATATTTATTCATTCATTCATTATTATTATTATTTATTACGAGTTTCTTATTTATATTTTTTTTCAAGTTTTAATTATAAAAAAAGTAGAGAGCTAAAGTAGGTCAAATGAAAAAATGGCACTACCAAAAAAAAAAGAGAAAATAAAATAAGGAATTAAATTAAAAGAGAAATTACAATGCTAAGGCAATAATAATAATTATGCATTCTAAAACTCTATCAACATAAATAGTAGCCCAAAGGAAACTCTACTAGACTAGATAATTTCAATATTCTACAAATTTTATTTATTATTATTATTATTATTATTATTATTATTATTATTATTATTATTATGAATTTTTTGTTTTATTGTAACATTTACGAAAAAAATAAGAATTTATTTATCTAATTATATATTTAATTGTAATTGGCTTTCAAATGTTGACTTCAAATTTGAAATAATTGTAAATATGAAATATTGAATTTTTGTATGTCCTATGTTTATCTTGTAAACTGAATTTTTATTGAACCCTCTTCTTCATGCTGCACATAATTAACTGTTTTATTTTTCAAATAGATAATTTTGTTTTTGTTGCGGGAACATTTAAGTCAATATTTCTCTTAGGGTCACCCTCATTTAATAAATTTGAATAAAAAATAAATAAATAAACTAGAGTACTGTCAACGCTGTTATGGTTACTAACTACCAAGTGGAAAGGTAGTACTTCACTACCCCTACCACATTCAAAGTCAACTAGTTCATAATCTTAGTCACCAAAATAAACTTGTGCAGTTTTGTATTTACACAGTGATGATATAAGGCCCCATAAAAAAAATTATTAGTTTATCACCCCCTCCCTCATCACGTTTGGGGAAATTCTGATTTTTGTTTTTCAATATAAAATTTGATTCCATTCTTATTATGACTTTTTATATATGTGTCCCTAACCATTTATTTACTTGAGAACACCGGTAAAATGGGGGCGGGGTTAGGGGAAAAAAACACCTCCCTCCCTCATCAGTTTTTATTTTTGATAGGGTGACAAACTAATAATTTTTTTTATGGGCCTAAAATATGCTTTAGTAAAACTTATCAAAACTTTCTTTATGTGTACAGTTTAATGTGAGTAAACTTTTCTCCATGCAGCACACATAAGTACATTCTTGCCTTCCTCTGCTAGATCTTAAAATCTCCCAAAGTACTTTTGTCTATTTCGATCCCTCTGCTTACCTCTAACAGAGAGAGTGAATTGTTTGATTCTCTTTGCAGTATATGCATCGTCCCTGCACTAAACTCATTGACATACACTATCCTAGAAGAAATGAGACAGAACAAAACATGTTGAAATACCCTTCAAAAATACTGCATTTGTCCAGACTATCACATATTATTTGACCAAAAACTGTTGTATGCCCATAGTCATGACACACAACCATATTTAGGCACTTGTTTTTGTCAAATAAAATGTGAGTCTGTACAGAGCTTTATAGTATTAAAAATCCTCAGTATTATTTTATTTTAATGAATGAAAAAAATTGTAATCTTACTTTCCATCAGGTGACATGTTGATTCCATTGAATAAGTGACCATTCTCTCTGATGATCTTGGCTTCCTTGCCGTCATAGTAACCAATGCTGGCCCATTTCATGAGGAGCAGTCCTTCAAGTGTACGCTTAACTCCGCGGTAATATCCATCGTTAGTGTAGTAAAAGCTATCAGGCCCAGTAGCCACAAGGTCATTTACACTGCAAACAGAATACTGTATTTAAACATGACCTTAAGCTTTGTTGTGTTCTAGAGCACCGTTCCACAACCTATGGGCGTGACCCAGTGTTTGGGTCATGGAAAAATATTTATGGCTCGCATAATCTCTTCAGATCCTGAAAACTTTACTTAATACAAATAAGGACAAACAAAATCAAATTACAGTAAACGAAAGTGCAATGAAGGTGTGACAGTGCGTCAGTTTACTTTTGTAATGTGTGCGTTAATCATAGTTTTATGTTAAAAATATGCTATAAAAATATTTGTACTTCAGGTATGACAACTTCCAAAGTGTTAGTTTTGTTCAATGTTTGGCTTTCAGCTGAAAATTATAACGAAGAAAACATTTTTCAATTTAATTTGTCTATGTCTTCGCATTAACCCATAAATATCTGGCAACAAGTTAAGGAATTTATAATAATGTCTGTAAATCATTAATTTAACAAAGAAAATCTTGATCTTATTGAATAATTTGATAACTTAGTGGTTTGGTTAAATGAGTAATTCAAAGTAATGTTGTCATTTTTAGGCGTCTTAAATTGATGTTGTGGGTGATAGTATTTTTTAATTTACTGCCAAAAGAATCAAGTGAGTGGTTTCTCTTATACCCGCTATCCCTCTCGCGTATAAATTGACGGACGTGATATATTGGCTTCAGGTTTCGATGGGTCGCGTCTGAGTGCTTAATATATAATATGGGTCGTGGGCTAAAAAGGTTGCGGAACGGGGTTCTTGAGATCGGTGATGACCATTATCACAACTTCAAATTATTATGTGAAAAGCAGTCAACTGGTGACCAAAAATTGTCTTTTCACAATAAACCAATTCAAACATATTCTTGGGCTTACTCCTGCTAAAACTTTCTTCTTGTCAACCAAATACCCCGGGGGCTCACTCTTAATTATTTCTATACGGGTAGGTGCCGCATTTCCCGGGGGTATTTTTGAGGACTTGGTAGCACAAGTGTGGAAATTTATGGAAGAGTTTCAGCATGTATAGGATTTGCGAGGACTTGGTAGGACAAGTGTGGGAAACACCAGGTAAAATTGGTAGTTAAAGTTCCTGCCCCGTCCCGTATCATCAAAGCAGTATAATTTTTCACACGATTTTAGCAAAGTTTTTTGCTAAAAACTCTGTGCCAAACCTACAGTAGAGATTGCGAACGGACATAACTACGGTCTTATTCGCCATCGGGAACCAGAACAAGTTTAATTTGTTAGGTTACATGGCCGTAATAGTAGTTCAACCGATACTGGATTTTGGCAAATGGTAGTTAAGTCCCTAATAATTTTCAGTAGAATACCAGTAGGTATCGCAAGTGTCTCATGTCTTGGAGTGGCTGTTGCACACCCCCGTAAGGTTGGTATGCAAGTGAATCCCCCGGCCCAAGTACATTTGATTGCATGGAAAAGTACCACCATGTTGATGTTGTCTCAATCTTAAAGATAGAATGAGATTAAGTACAGTTATCATAGTGCCACTACCTGATTATCAACTTGTGTTGTATGGTTCTGTGATGTACCAACACTGCCCTCTCTTGGTCAAAATCAAAAACTTCAATTGTATCTTCAGTTGAGTAGTGATTAACAGCAAACAATCTAACTTTTCCTGAGGCAATACAAAATATGAATATGCAGATGATATTGATTGGAATGACCAGGACAAAAATAATCTGGATAATATATTACCCATAGCCACTCATGCTTTTAGACAATGGAATTTCCACATGATTCTAACAATAATTGAATATAATCATGTTTTATGTTGATATAAATTTCCTAGATCTGAAGAATGGCGTAATCATAAAAGTTTTGGGACGAATATTGGATAGTATTTATGATGTTTAACCATTGAATGTCTTCCCTACAGTTGCGTTTAGTAATTATTAAAAAATGTGGAGCAATAAGAACTTATTTTTACAATGTAAACTAACTGAGCTATGATGCCCATGTTGTGTCAGTTAAAACTCAGACACCTGTTTACCTGTTAAATGGTGGAATAAAATTGATTTTCATAGAAAATGTTTACATATTAATTATAATGAAAATATTTTGACCAAAAAAAATCAGCAATTTAAACTTATACAAAATCACTGATACAACTCAACTGTCTGTATGAACTGCAAAGTTACGCTAGAAGATGATTTGTCATAATACTAGGTCAAATGAAAACAATACTGCTGTTAGTGTTATTTGCTGTAGGTTGTTTAAAATTTTACGAAAGTCGAGTTGGAAGACCACAAAGTAATTTGTTATGTCAATTACAGATTGATTTAAATAATAACTCTGTTTAAAAAAGTATGAAGACCTACTGAAAGAAATCCCAACAGGTAAGTGTGTTGGTTAACTTTATGTTTTTGTTAGATATACAACAGGGAGATGGATACAACATATGCCAGTAACAAGACTGCAAAAGAGCAGGATTCTGTATACAGTAATGCAATTTTTGAATAAAGTTTGAGTATAATACAAAATAGAATTTAATGCATATATATTCTTTCAATTGCTATTGATGAAATCAGCACAGGACCAACTGGTAGGTACTATATATTTGTCTTAACATAACTTAGCATACCTGTTTCTTTATCTTGCCAGATATCAATACCATGCGTCCTTAGGGTTTTGACGTCAAAATCGCCCTCTATTGGTAGAACTTTAACCTTTTCTTCTGGTTTGTTGAAATCAAACTGGAATATTCTTCCTTGAAAATATTGAATTCTGGGATCAGCATTCGGAAAGACGTGAAATAAATCTATACCCTAAATGTTGAACAAGTTTAGTATTAATAAATTAGAGGTTAATCCATTTTATCATAATACTATAACAAGTAACAACCATTATCTATTAAATATAATAATTTTTTTTTTAGCCTCTTGGAACGTCTCTAGTCTTACCGAACTGATGAAAGCTAATCCATTTGGAAGGACAACAATATCTTCTGAGCCATTAACTGAAATTTTAAGATAAGTTATCATTGAAAAACAGAAATAAGAAGTGGAAATTGAGGTCAAAGACCAAATGAAAAAAAACATGTCTTTTTCCCCTCTTGGCCATGTCTTGATATGAATCTGTGTGTGTGTGTGTGTGTGTGTGTGTGTCGGGAGTTTATGAGGCCACCAATCTTTGTGAAAAAGTGCCAAAAGAGGACACATTTTTCTGATTAAAAAAAAACAAGAGAATTTTTAAAACAGTTAGATCATAAAGTATGAAGTAGGCAAGGCCTACCTTGTTGCTACTAACCAATGCCTGGAACCACTTTGCATGCACCTGGTTTATGATTGTAGACAGTTTTGAAACCTCGCAAACTATGTCTAGAAAAAAATGTTGAGCTAATAAACTTATTACAAAAAACATTGTGTTGAAGTGATCATTATTCAAAAGCATTTATTCTAGGGTCATTATCAGGCCACTATTCTTGCTCTTGAGCAGGCCGTCTGTGGAATGGGCGGAGTCATAGTAATGGATCATTTCTATAGTAGACCCATTGCCTCCTGCATAGTATCTCTCCCGAGATTATATGTGTAAGGCCAAAAATAATGGTTTGTTTGCCCTCCACCACCCGCCCCTAACTCACTGAAATAAAAATAGGGGCGGAAAAACAAAAAAACTGTGAGTGAAATTGCCAGATGCCCTACAATTTAGTCTAAAGTTGTTGTCTGATGTAAGATACTGTCATTCTAGGCCTCCGTGGGTTATTTTATTCCATCTGATGAGTATCTTAAAAAAAAAACAAAAAAAAAAACTTTTTCCCTCTGCCCCAATTTATCATTTTTAAAAAGAGAAGGGCAAACAAACAATTAATTTTTTTTTAAGCCTAAAAAAAAAATCCTTCACTTTAAAATCTTAGGAAATAAATGTGTTGCATTTGTTATTAAGGCCCTATAAAAATATTATTAGTTTATCAGCCTATCTGGGACTGGAAAAGTGATGAGGGAGGAAGGTTTTTTTTTTTTCTTTTTTGCTGAAGCAAAATATGACCCCCCTCGGATGTTTCCTGTGCATTGATATTCAAAGTAAAACATATAAAGATAATACAAACAATATCTACTAACTATTTAATAAAAATTTTTTTTTTTTTTTTTTTTTTCAAAAATATCTTTTTATCAGTAGCATAGAAGGCATGCACACGAGAGGGTGATAAACTAATATTTTTTTTATCATTGGGCCTAAAGCCAGACTCCAGAGGAAAACAAATTTTTGATATGTTGTACAACTGATTTTTCAAAGACTCAAAAAGCATTTATTTGATGAAAAACTCCGGAGCGGTAAATGAGACAGATATTTTTGAATATTTGAAAACTGGAATAAAAGGGTGAAAAAACGGTGGTTACGCCCAGAGCCTGGCTTTACCATGTACTGATGGAGGTGATATCATGAAGGATGGAGGTGATATCAAGGACCATTCCAAGGGAGCTAGAACACTTTACAAACAAACTTTGAACTGATACACATACAAGATTGTGCTAATTTTCTAATCCATTATGGGCAGCCATGGGTCAATAGACAAATATTTTCCCTCGAAGCGATATCCATTCATCAAACGCCAGTCATGGCTGCCCATATATTATTATCTTAACTTGTTTTTCATTCGTTTTACATAAGTTCCATTTCTGCATTCTGTATTCCCAGTTAGATATTTAGGGCCGGACCATCCATTGTTTGTTCATTTTCTCTTCTCCTTTTTGTAAATTTCAAGTTTTCTATTTGTACTTATTCAATATTACCTTGTTATATTTATATTCAGTGGCAGAGGTCAAAAACATTTTTCAATTTTTTTTTCAATCATATAGTGTTGTAGACTAGTCTTTTAATAAGAACATTTTGCTGGAAAATGACGCCCCGTTATGGAGTTATGATTTTTAAAATAACATGATGTCAGAAAATCAGCCCAAAAGCTTATCTTATTTCTGTTCGCACCGCTGATTCGCAATGTTTGTCATCACAAGTCTACCGATTCGTGGAAAAGGCCTATTGAGAGACATTTTTGTACTGCCATAAGGCCAAGTAAAAAAAAAAACATGTTTCGGCTTTTTTTTTAAATTGAGGAAGAGGCCTTTTTTATTTTTTATTTTTCAAAATGGCCGCCATTCTACAGACTTGTTGACATTTCCCGTCTAGTTTTGTTCAACATATAAAAAGACATCACACAAGATTAGAAGCTGTATACTGTTTATTTGGCAAGAGTGTTATTGGGTATTATAAGCTTTTTTCTATTCACAGTGGCATTTAGGAATCATTGTTACTGTATACAATGTTCCCGATGTTACGTCTCAGACGTCTTCACATGAAACTATTCCATACAATCTGTCATAGAGAGCCAGTATAACGGGAAATTCCAGAATTCATCGGAAATCATCGGCCGTATTCGATTGGGACTTTCGTGCTCTGCTCAACGGAAACTGCTCAACGAAGTTAACGCTCGGAATTTATCGTTGAGTTTTGTACTCAACGGGATGCGATTTTTTTTTTTCCGTACGAAACATTTACATGAAACTCCACTCGGGCCGTCTCGGCTGAATCGACCCGAAAATCTCATTGCAGAATTCAGGAGGTCAAAAGGTCATCAACAGATAAACGTCTACAAAACAACTTCTGAGAGAATGTTGCTGTCTAATTTTTAAAAATACATTGATGTTACTATGTTAACCAATGGGTCGTTTAAATGACATATAATATTTGATTAGCTGCACGAGTAATGAAAAGTGTTATTTTAACTTGAGTTACATACTATGAAAATTTTAATTTTTTAGTTAGGCCTTGGTTTTGCATAATTACCTAGGCCCTA